CGTTTACATTCGCGCAAGTGCCCTTGGAAAAGGCATGGATTCACCTCTTCTCCTCCTAGCTATGGATTGAATAACAGGAATAGCCTTGGTTAGAATCGATCTACCACAGAAAGAAACAACAGCCAGCTGCGAGAAAATCTATGCCTAGTCAGCCATAAATCGAAACTGACACGATCTCCCAAGCGTGTATCACGTATGGCACTGAACTGAATTTTCAAGAATAGTTCTTCGAGCTTTTTGAGAGACATTCCAATCTCTTTGAATGATACCTGACTTATTCTTTCGTTCTCTAACATGATGGTCTCATACTGCCTATAATAATGTTGAGGTGCGTGCTCTGGGAGTGCCAATGCAAGACTGTAAAAATAAGCTTTTAGTCTATCGAGTGATTCCCAACGTGGGGCGCATAGTAACATTTTGGTGGGGCATGCGTAGGATGTGCAACCTTCGGCTAACTATACCAACAGAATAAGGGGACAATTCGAGAATCAGTTATTAACAGTGAATTGGTTTGAATGAGAGGGTTAATGCGCGTTAATACATACGATGCATATACAGTATGCATACATAAAAATATTTTGTGTGTATGTGCGTAGATGTGTAATTGGCACACAGTATTTCCTGTCTCCCCACACTCGCGTGTCTTGGTTAACAAAAGAGAGGGCGTGATGCATGTCGCTGGAAGAGCCCATGTTTTGTCGACCAATCAGCGCGTGTGAACATACAGTGAGCAATACCGGGTGGGTGGACCATAATTTTAGAAATACCAAAGTGGCTCATGGCCCAAAATCGGTTGGGAACCAATTGGTCTATCGGTAGTGTGTTTGGGATCAGTGTGATGCTGAGAAAAAAAAATGAAGCTGTTGCCAATCAGATGTTTTCCAGATATTCTTGCACGATGAATCAACATCCGAAAGTGCTTTTGTGCGGCCATTTTGATAAGATCTCCAACGTCACCGACTGAAATGCTGCACTAAACCATGACAAAGCCTCTGCCACGTTTTGCAAATGGCTGCAAACAACTCACAGTTGTACACGTACTCTCCTTCCCGTTTCATACACGTTGACCATGTAGCAAACATAGACATTTGTGCCCGCCAAAAAAAAAAAAAAAAAAAAAAAATGGCGTTATTTTATAAAATCGCTGTTATTTTAATAAAAATTGTCAACGTGTGAATCTTTAGTAATGTTTATTGTTTTAAAAAGCGATGATTAGAATTTTGATAAAACTTAAATATATGAAAGTAAATTTATACATTTTCTTTGTTTTTGAGAACTGACAACAAGGTAAAAAACACTATTTTTAATGAAATTGTTTATCTATAGCATATTTTATTATTAACATATTTATCGTAATGGTTGGCAAAACATTTGGTAATTGCTAATTGATTCGAGCTTTATAAAATGGTAAATAATAAGGCTTTCATTGTATTTGGTTCACGTATTTTATAACTGATTAAATTTCTCAGCGTGTCAACAAAATTTCGACTAATGACGTAATAAGGGTGACGTCATGAAAATGAAAAAGAAATGTGATAGTGCGATAATAAAGAAATGGCAAAATTTGTCACTTCATTTTTCAGGTTTTGATAAGAATGACATTGGCGGAGGTATGCACTCGCTGAGTGCTTTCTAGTTTATAAGATGTTAACGTCAAATATATATAAACAGGGACTAGTTTAAGTCACTTATCGAGAAGGCTAGTCGCACATTTCTGAGTTTTTATTTTTATTTTTATCGTTTTTAACGGTGAAGATAGGACATGTAAAATGTTTGAATTATCATATTTAAGTAAACATCTTGAATTATCATATTTAAGTAAAGATCTTGAATTATCATATTTAAGTAAACATATAACCTACTGAGAATAATCTACCGAGCTTCAGTGAATGTATGACAGAGCAAAGTTTAGGAGCGATAACAAAAAGACAAAATTATTAAGAGCTGCAAAGGAAAGGAAATAGTGGAGAGCCATGATTGTCAATGTCCTGAAGGGACACGGCACATAGAATAAGAATGAGCTTGAGTAAATAGATGGCGGAACAAGGTTTAGGAGAGATAACAAAAGGGGGAAACTTATTAAGATCTACAAAGGAAAGGAAATTGTGGAGCGCCATGAGTGTCAACTTTCTGGAGGGACACAGCACATAGAAAAAATAAGCTTGAGTAAACGGATGGCAGAACAACATTTAGAAGAGATAAAAAAATTTACAAATTTATTAAGTTCTACAAAGACCAAGAAATTGTGGCGAGACATGATTGTCAACATCCTTCATTGTCCTAAATCGTTATAGACATTTGTTAAATTTTTCTAAAGTCGGTCATACTCTTTGAGGAATTTCTTGGGGGTCGGGGTTATCATAATTTGTTTTCATTTTGGTTTGGGTTTTTTGAAATACATTCCTGCATGCATGTAGGATATGTTGATGGAGGTCATGGCCACCATATTTCAAAACTTCTGAATTGAAAGCTGCATCTATTCTGCTAGTCTTGTCCAGCTTGAGGCTAGAAAGAGATTTTGCGCAGTTCTTTCCCGGTGAAATATTCGGTGACAATGTCTAATGCTTCAGTTGGTGCCAGATGTGCAATATTAGAAGGATTCGGTTTGGTATGGACGCGATTTGGGTCATACCGCGGTACAATGGTGTCCAAACAAATTCATCAACGCCATATCAATAGAAGCGAAAGCTGTGTGAAACTTGGACAGGAATTTTCTTTTCTAGATAAAAACATTAGTACGCCAAGGTAGCAAAACATTTTATTATTGTCCAATCAATGCAAGCCAAAGAGCCACTCAATGTAGAGTGTTTCCGAGCGAGATTGTTGTAAAGGGCGTTAGAGAGTAGAAGGAGAAGGAGTTGGAGGAGAAACTGTTATAACGATATGTAGGATAGATATTGGTTTGGGTATGACGATAAACTACATCCGGCAATAAGAGATTTGATCGGGAGGTTAGATGCTTTGAGGAGCATAGAACCACCTCTTAGTAGCTGTTGTTCCTAGGCTCAGCCTGACACGCGGTGGTAGCACATTTTAGGGCCCCAGTTATGGATAAATAGTGACCCCCCCCATCAAACGAAAACAAAACTTTATGAAAGTATAAAAATATATTTTTTATAGTAAAAATATCAACAATATAAAAATATATTGTTGATATTTTTACTATAAATTATCTATTCGTATAATTCAATTACGACGTTGCGTCAAGGGTAAGACGATAAACTACGTCCAACAGCAAGGCCTCTGATCAGGAGGCTTTGAAGAGCGCAGAACTACTTCTTAATTTCTGATGTCCCCAGGTCCGCCCTGACCCGTGGTGGCATCACATGTTAGGGTGCCAGCTATGGGCAAATAGTTAACCCCGAAACTGAGACTACATCCGCGTCCTGGGTATGATGATAAACTACCTCCAACAGCAAGGCCTCTGATCAGGAGGCTTTGAGGAGCGTGGAACCTCCTCTTAATTGCTGGTGTTCCCAGGTCCACCCTGACCCGGGGTGGTAGCACCTGTTAGGGTCCCAGCTATGGGCAAATAGTTAACCCAGAAACTGAGGTAAAAGGCATTATAAAAGTGTAAAATTAGGTTTTAATACCAGAAATACTTTGTAAAAAATTATTAACAGAAATAAATTTTTGAAGAAAAAAAAAAAAAAAATTACCAGCAATATGTTTTTGAAAAAAAAAAACTATTACCAGCAATACGTTTATTGAAAAAATATTACCAGCTATACATTTTTGAGGAAAAAATGTTAACAGAAATAGATTTTTGACAAAACAAAAATATTACCAGAAAAAAAAAATTGTCGGCATTAAATGACCCATTGAGGTGTTGAAATACCGTAAAACAAAATAAACCAAACCAATTACGGCATTACTTTAAAGTGCTCAAGAAACAAGAATTATCCCATAAGGATGTTGATATGCCGTTAAACAAACAAATCAATCAAACAATATCTACATTAGGAAAAGAATATTAACTCTCAAATTCATTTCTTCTTATGAAGTTAAAAAAGTTTCATTTTTTAACTTCATAAGAAGAAATGAATGCAAAGTATATTTGTACCCTCTTCTCAAGTAGCTAATGGAGAATACGTAGTTGTGGGGAGGTTGAGTTTTATTCCCTTCCCGGGAGAGGAACTAAAACAGACCCGATTTATTTTAAATTATTGCAAGACAGGAGGATTTCTTTAGTAACAAAGAAATGAATACTGATCGCTTACGTGACATCTGTCTTTCTTTACGGCAGCGAATGTTGGATGATTTCCTCAAAGATGAAGAAGAGACTCGAGGCAACAGAGATCTGGTTCTACAGAAGGATGATAAGGATATCATGGACCGAACGTATTGGGGTGGTCAAGGACGCATTCCAAAAGCTGGGCAGAGTATTGCGAGGCAGAAGGATTTCTTTGGTAACAAAGGAAAGAATTCTGCGCTGTTACGCAACATCTGTTCTTCTTTACGGTAACGAATGTTGTACGGTTTCCTAAAAGATGAAGAAGAGACTCGGGACGACGGAGATGTGGTTCTACAGAAGGATGCTGAGGATATCGTAGACTGAGAGTGTGAGCAACGATGAGGTCTTAGAGAGGATTAAAACAAAGAAGAGGCTTATACTTGACATCAGGAAGAGGCAGCTCAAGTTTCTGGGACACATAATGAAAAAGGAGAGCCTGGAGAATCTGATACTCACGGGTCGAATAGAGGGAAAGAGAGACAAGGGAAAACGACGCATGACATACCTAGCGGGCTTTTAAGCAAGTGGATGACAGGACATGGTCTGGGTGAGGAAGTAGAGGGAAGGAACTTGTTGAGAGCTGCAAGGGATAGAAGGAGGTGGAGAGCCATGATCACCTACGTTCTGAAAGGATATGACACATAAAAAGAAGGTCAAGGTCAATGCTGCTGCTGCAAAAGTATGAAAAGTGTGAGAGACAAATTTATTAAACTTATTAAAATTTGAGTAAGATTTTTCATTTTTCAAAATTCATTTAAAACCTTAGGTATCGTTTTTGTCTTGCTTTCTTTCTTTCTTTCTTTCTTTCTTTCTATTTTCATCCTATAAAATTTCTAGCTTCTTTTCTTCTTCGCATTCTTTCTTTCATTGGTACTATTTCCTTTCTTTCTTTCTTTTTTTTATATCTTTTTTCTTCATCTTTGTTTTCATTTTCTCTTTTTACTTTTTTCTCGTTCTCTATAATAAAGAAACGAAATGAAAATTTCATTAGAATCCTACTGTTATTTGACTGTTGCAAGAATTTCCAAAACAATGCTTTTAACATTAACAAAAGACATTAAAAAATCCCTCTACTAATCTCTGGCCCAACCGCTGAAAAGAAAAACAAGTTTTTTAACCAAAATTTCGAACATGCTAGAAAAGATTACAAAGTTAATAAAACTGTTGTAACCTAGGAAAGGTTACTGTATAGAATAATCAAGCAAAGGTTAGTAATGAACGATAATACTTAAGACGAGAACAACACCTATAAGATTCGCCAGCGGCGCGTTGAAGAAGTAGTCAACTGCTAGAAGTGACTCAAGTGAATTCAACAATGAATCTCCAACTGCAGGATATCTACCAACCGCTCCACGCGGTCAGATGTGACACAAGACCGAATTTAATGTGGGGTATCGCCGTAGACCGCATATAAAACGGAGTCTGATACTTGTTTCCCGAGACAAGACTATGCCCTTCGACATAGCCTCGTCTGGTGATCCCCTCTGCCCGGAGTCAGAGAGTTTGACTAGCACAGCTGGAGACGAATTTCCAACTGCAGGATATCTACCAACCGTCCCACGCGGTCAGATGAAGCACAAGACTGAATTTAATGTGGGGTATCCGAGCCCGTAGGCTCGGCCAAAAATTCCCTGTAGACTCAATATAAAACGGGGTCAGGTAGCTGTTTCCCGAGACAAGACTATGACCTTCGATATAGCCCCGTCTGGGGATCCTCTCTGCCCGGAGGCAGAGAGTTTGACCAGCACAGTTGGAGACGAATTTCCGACTGCAGACCACCATACAGTATTTACTAATGTATTTATGTGAAAAGGACATGCTCATTATCGTTCGTAGGTATGCTACAACAAAAACAATAAAAATACTTTCATATTTCCTCTTAATAATAACATAAACATTTTGACGATAAAACTTTTTTTTTATTAAGTTTGGGTCTTTTTCATCATAGTATGCTCCATTTTAGCGAATTTTTGGAGATACCAACGTTATTATTTGTGAATTGTCACGACTACTTCGTAAATATAGTGAAGTGGTTTTACCTTGTCTTATTTAGAGTTTTTAAATGGTTGCCACTCAAAGTTAGATGGTCCAGTCTATTCTGCTATTTAACCCAGAGCTGTGGGAGAAAAAAGAAGAATGAAAAAAAAAAAAAGAATAATTTCTGTAAATATGAATAACTGCTGTATAAAATAACAATAGCTGTGAAATAATGACAGATTTACTTTGTTAAGAAAATGTATCATTATGTATTTTTATATAGAATTATTTCCATTTTTTTTTTTGCTTTTTTTCTGAGAAAATAAACCTATTCTTATTTCCCGTGCAAAGTAATGTCAACAATGAATTTTCACCCACTTTCAATCCAGACCACCGGGTGCAGGTTGGCTCCTGGGTCATGTAACCTTACAGCTTCATCTGGTTTTGCAAGCGTCGGAATGAATCGTAATATACGCAGTTACATAAACAGCTACTCTAGACAGATGTGTAGTCTCTCACACATCCCCGGCGAGGGTGTAAGGACCACTTTTCAGTCGAGTGTACAGGACTGCGCATTCACACATCGAGAGTAATTTACTAAGTATTGGAGTGAAATAAAATGTAATGTCAGTTAATGAAATGTTGTGCGGGTGGTGTAATAGATAGCGGCTGGAAATAAGAAATCGGAGACCCGGGTTCGAACTCCAGTTGATTTTGTTAAATACATTTGCGCATAAATACGATAGGGAACGTTGTGAATCCATCTCTTCTACCAGAAAAGAACAGATTAGTCCCTATAGCAATCAGTCTAGCAGAGAGTAATGCCTTGTCAGGCTAGCTTGCCGAAGACAAACCACTACGACTACACCATATATGTAACCATGATAGGGATCGAATTAATGAAAGATCCAAGCCTCGTGTTATTCACTAGTCCGTACGTTTTATCCTTATTAATCAGCACGACTTCATGGCAATATTATGCCCAACTTATTAATCTTAATAATACAGCCCCGTAGTACAGCCTCCCCGAGGTAAATTCTTTTTTTTAAAAAGTTCTACCATATTATCCACTAGCAGCATGGCCCGGCATTACACGTGCTTGATTCAAAAATCGTACGACTCATACAGCAATCGCTATCACTTGACATAACATATTTTTTTCCCTTCCTTGCCTTTAAAGGAGTGCCCTTTGCCGTGCTGATGTTACTACACGCCTTACTTCTTGCCTATCTCACACTGTGAATTTTTTCTAAGCTCTATACTAAACATTAAATCTGTTACAAAAAAAGAACTAAACAAAATGAAAACAAAACGATCAGCTTTAAAAAAGGACTCGTAACTGGAAAAACTGAATGAAAAAAGAATGTTAACAACAAATACTTTTTCACACCCAACCCAGTTCTGCGGAATCAGAATCAGCGTTGAGTTTAAGCAAGCGAATAAGCCAATTGGAGTAAAGTGCCATGCAGATTTAAATTTTTCCCACTTGTGACGAATGCAGCTATCGATTTTTTTTTGCATGCTAGTATGCTAGTTAACATTCGTGTCAGTCAGCTGTTGGCTACCACGCTGGCCAATAGAATCTTCATGCCTATTCGTGGCAGCCAGCTATAGGCTCTCACTCTGGCCAGTACAAAATGGCCGCAGACTACATGAAAACTGCCGTAGAAGCATGAAAAAATCGATCGATGGGAGTTGGGAAATGCAAAGTCGGTCTTGGCCTTCTCGCTATCTTGGAGCATGTGCACGTAAATTTTGGTGCAAATCCTTCAAAAAATTGTGACCGTGCATTCAACACACACACACACACACACACACACACACACACACACATACACATCCTGCCTTTTATAGAGAGAGATTAAAATCTCAGTATCATGGCCGCATAAATTATGATAATATTTTGCCATTTAAAATTACAAGTATCAGTCATTTCTTTTCTCATACAAATAAAAACAATTTTAAGAAAAGCAATTTTTTTTCTATGTTCCAAGTTTAGCTTCTCCTCACTTACCGACTTACACGTTTAACGACCACTCGGAGTTACGACAGCCTACGAACCGTTACCGATATGATACAGTAGGTTCTTCATGAGATCGCTGAAAAATGAGCATAGCATGATAAAAACGGCCTTAAACTTGACGAAAGCAAAATTTTATCGTCAAAAGGTTTATGTTATTATTAAGAGGAAAGACCGAAGATTTTTAAAATTATTTTATTAAATTTTTCGATCGTTTTTAGAACATTTTAACTTTTGATTAAAAAAAAAACCTCGTTTTGTTTTGCGTCAGGTTGCTAAAATTTTAGCACATTTTTTGTAATGACAGAATCTAATTTAAAAAAAAAATACCCAAATTTTCATAAATGTACATAAAATTATACTTTTATGTAACTTTCTTATGATATTTTATCTCACTCAGCAGTTATATTTTAATTTTTTAAAGTATTTTTAATTTCTCTTGAATGTATGAACAAACTTAAGGCGAAAGCTGAAGTACTAAAAAAAAATGAAAAATAAAAAAAGAATATTAGATTGCTGAAAGTTTTTCCTACTTTAAAAATTACGAGATATATAAGCTGTTTCACTTAAAACTAGAAAAGATTACGTCACTTGTCCTTCCGTATGATAACTCCCCCTCACGTTACCTGTCAATACGTAATGACATGCTTTCTCTTATTTTAAACTAAATTTTTCTACGAGGAAAGTAAGTAATGTTTGTTTCAAAATATATGGTAGTTCCACATTATCGAAGGTGTTCAATACCCTTGATATCATGAAAATTGTGAAATATTAGTATTAGTATAGCTCCTCGCTTAACGACCAATTCCTTTATCGACCTGGTCATTGGAACGGAACCTGGTCATTAAGTGTCATGGGTCACCTATAACTACAGAATGTACTCTTCCTAACACTATGTATACTACGCCTCTCAAGAGAGAGGGACGAATCGAGTCGAGCCGATAGTAGTTCACTCCAAACTAGACTGACAGTCATACTAACACCTTCCACATCTTGTATTATTATATCGTGTAATATACCTTTGTTAATTCTACTCTTGTGTTCGTGTTGTTCTTCCTTGGTCCTAACCTGGACCATAACATTAAGTGATGAGAGGCTGTATATATTTTCAAAGGTTCCTGCTGATTAGGGATTAGTAGATATACAACTCACGTTAATTTAAAATTTAAAATTTTAAAATCTACTTGGAATTGCAAGTTTCTGTAACTATAGAGTTATCGGCATTTTACAGTGACCATTGTTCCATGATCTCATCAAGGTATCCGTGAATTCCTATAAGTCACTTCCGTTTTTTCCAGCCTAAACATCAACTTGTGAAGAACTGGTGTCCTTTCTCTTCCAATTTAGCGTCTCTAGTTTGAGAACTCAAGCGACATTAAGAAATAAACCACGTTCATAACTGACAGACAAAAGTTTTATGTACATATCCATTTTATATCCCAAATTTATTATGACTTTTGTGTGTAGCATGAAGATTATAAAAATGTTGCGTGTATTTTACATGAACGTGTGTGTTCAATATGTTAACAAAGCATACAAAATTTGTTTTCTACTATGGACGTTGATACTTTTTATGGTGACTGGAGTGAAACAAAATTCTCAATGGCTCTTGGGTATTGTAATGACAAAAGTATGCTGGTGTAGGTTTTAAGAAGGCTTTATTCAACTGAGAATACAAGGTTTGTGCGTAGTGTCCTTTTATAGTCCCAGTGAAGAGAAATAGCTCTCTCAAAGAGAAGAGTAACAAAACAAGGGAGACCACTCTTGATTATTCATAACAGGTATGTCTGTTTTCGTTTATGGTACAGAAGTTAGGATAACAATAGTTGACATGGTTAAAATAGTCAATCTTGAGTCAGCTTTGCACTGAGTGGGAACGGCCAATTCACTTACTTCACGAGGAGGGCTACCAAAACACGTCCGAACAATGTCGTTGGAAGTGGACAGGAGAGAGA